TCAACATTCTCTGTTAAAATAAATGAAATAGTGTTATTGGAGAGATTTGTGTGAGAGAATTTCACCAAGATCACACATTAACTTTTATTTAAATACTGATGCAATTATTTGTTTGCTGTTTTTTTTCTTCTCAGATTGCTCCCTATTAATTAATATTTATTTTTTTAAAATATTTTATTAAAAATCATAGCAACTTGTTAGTATTTGCGAAACATTTCATCGTCAAGTCTAAAGTATTATACTGTATTGAATCACTGTTGTACCTATAAATTTATTGAATTTTCATCAGTTTAATTTATATGATACAAATGAAATGGAACAATTATTTAAAAATTTGTCAGTCTTATTGCAGATGAATCTTTTCCTTGAATGTGTTATATTGGAAATGTTAATTATTTCGTTGGTATTTGGTGATAATGTGGCCAAAAATAGTAAAAATGGAGAAATAAAGTAGGCATCAATGATAATTGGAATTAGTTTACAGTAATGAACAAAAATAATTTAATTTCTTAAATAATGGAGCAGGAGCGAGAAATTAAAAAATAATGCGTTATATAATTGATAGATAGATATCATTATTGATTAATTGAAGTTTAACAAAGAATTCTTCTATAATCTATTTCAGAATTCGAATGAAGCGACAGTTTTATGGTTATGGTACTTTTCCGGGTTTTTCAGTATTTCCATTTTTCAGTATAGGTTGGGGTCATTTCGATGACTGGGATCATATATTAGGATGGGAAAGTCCATGGAGTTATTATAATTGGTATTATGGCCCAATTTGGACGTGCACGTTTTGTCAATATTAAAAATTTTGTTAATATTCCATTTAACTTTTAAATCAGACGTTTAAATTAATATTTACATTAATATATTTCGTTTTAATTTTATATTTCATATTAATACATTAATATGAAATACTAATATATTTCATATTAATATATTTCATTTTTTTAAATCAATATATTAATATATTTCACTTAAGTGTATTGTCTGCTTATTGCTTGCTCTTTTCTGTTTCAAATAGCTAATAAACTTTATTGAATTTCGTTTGTAAACTTTAATTTGGTGCAGAATTGATCATTGATTCACAGAATGAATATAAAAAAACAACAATATGCGTAAGATGAAAATTCAAACAAGTTTTTAATGATTGTAAACATACCTGCTATTATTTCATTTTTTAACATTTAGAAATTACGTCATATTATAAGATATAATAGTTCTCAAAATATTTTTACAACAAACTATGCCATCGCTATATTTTCATTTTTTCAGCTTAAAATTTTGAATAGTGAATTGATATATTTTATTATTTATTGTTGTAAAGCTTCTTTATTTATCATTACAGAAAAGATTTTATTCTTATATTAAATAAGAAAATAAATTCAAGTGAAAACAAAAAAAAAAGCTAGTAAAGTACAACGAAGCAACAGCAAAATATTGCCAAATTGTATCATTTTTTACTGTAATATATCAAATATTAATATATATTGTAAAATTATCAAAATAGAAATTTGAGTTAATTCATTGTATTTAATTATTGCTAATATTACACTTTTTAAAAATTGACTCAATCTGCTTGTTATAATATTACATTAATCAAATAAAATTACACCAATCAAAGATTTTCTTTTCGGTTGATAAAATTCAAATAAAATTATATCAATATAAAATTATATCAATTAAATTAATCTCATAAAATATAAGGCATAAATGTTGTAACGATCAAATGATAATGATTTTCTTGTCGGTTGATATAATTCAAATAGCTAATAGTGAAAAATTTCAGATGTTCTCATACAAGTCATACATTTTTATTACCTTACTTTGTATAAATATGATATCAGTGTCCTGTCGTAAAATATCTGATGCTAACCGAATAAGGTGATAATTTGAATTTTCAGAAATAAAATGTGGATTTTTTTGATATTAATAAAAATAAAATAAATCTTATTTTTGTATGAATGTTTGTTTTTCTAGAAAGCAGGACAAGCGACAATTTTATGGCGGTTTCAACTTTGATAGAATATCTATTTGGCCGTTTTTCAGTTATGTCTGGGGTGGCCATCATAATAGATGGTATAGCCTTAAAAGCTATGGCTATGGCTGGGGAGCTCCATGGTATTTATTTGGACCTCGTTTTCTGATAGGGCGACGATTCTGGAAGAAACGTTGGGAAAGCTGGAGTGGGTTTCATGATGTCTGGTTTGGTTGATGGATATTATTTGATTGATTTACTAAAAACTGAAATTCGAAATGACATGAAATTTCTCTTCACACATATATTGCAACAAAATATAACAAAACGAAAGATTATTTTATGGAGGAACTTTGAAAAGTTTTAAAACAACAACAAGTATTGTAAAGATTTTAAAATGTAAAATACTGCATTCGTGCAATTTTCATTTACTGCAAGATTATAAGTTAATTTAGTGATATTAATCAGAAGAAATGTTTATATGATTGTTCAAACAAATAAACAACTAAAAGTAGTGTCATTTAAAATTGTTTAAACAAAATAAATGATTTAAAACATTTGTCATTCTTATAAGCATTTCATCAGATTATGATGGATAAAAATATACTACGATAGATGAGAAAGAAGATTAAAACCCGATTTATTTTTTTATCTTGTTACTAGCGATGTACACCAAATTTCAATACTTAAATGATATAGAAAGTGAAAATTTTTCAAAAATTCAATTTTTTTTCAGAAATTTCTTTTTTCAAAAACAAATATCATGATCAAAAAATTCATAATGATATGGATTGATTAGAAAACTAAAAATGATTTGAATCCAAAAAAAAAAATTATACCATAAGTTTTTGTCAAATATTCAATCAATTTGTTACTTGCAGTTTAATGTCATTTAGCAATAATGAGTAATTATATGCAAAAAATTCAGGATCTCTTAATATTTTTCAAAAAAAACACCACAAAGTGAACATTGCTTAATTAAAGCATCCGAGAAATTTAAATAAATTTTATAAAATGTGAATTGAAATTTCGATAGACATATAACGTAGGAAAATGTTGTTGTATTCAGTAGATATATTGTTGAAGAGTGTTATCGTATATAAAGTTATATGAACTCCTATAAATATACCGTAAGAAAATAATACCGTACGCTTGATTTCATGAATTTTGATGGGCATACCGTAAGAAAATAACACTGTTTCTTCAGTTCTATGAATTCTAGTAGATATATTACAGAAAAACATTACCGTATTCAGTTTTATAAAATGATTCATTTGGAGTGCATGTTAGCACTTTGAATGAATGCATTGCTCTTGGAAATGAGTGCTTCAAAAAAAAAGAATTCATTGGTTTAAAAAATTTCAAAAAATTCATAATAATAATTATAAATTATCTTAAACTTTTTTTTCATCCGGTGTTGCTAATTATCCATTGAAATTTATGCTGATATTTAATCATTCTTATCAAATAAGATTATTTCAGAAAATGAAAGTTGGCGTTACTGGGATAATTTTCTGGTTCATTTATTGATCGAATAATTTTATCCGAATGAAGCAAAAAAAAATTAATTTAAGTCAAATCAAAAAAAGTTTGAGAAATGAAAAGAAACAAAAGAAAAAAGCTAAGGATGAAAATCCATTCAACAGATGTAAACATATTTAATTATAAGAGTTTAAATGTTTTGAAAGTTCTAATTTGCTAATTACCATATTTTACTCATAGAAATCATTATTTCATCGCTGTTGATATCACAAAAATGAAGTATTGTATTATGCAAATACGATTGTTGCCTTACTTTTTATTGCTTATTTTATTTATTTTAATTATATAAGTTAACAGTTCCTTCGTGATAACAGAAAGTTTTCAAAATGTTTTGCATATCCATTGGAGAAAATTAAATTCATTCTCGACGAAGTACTGGAATGTATGTAAATGTGTATAAATGCACTAAATTTAGAAAAATTATAATTTTGTATCACTGAAATGCATATCTAAACGGTTAATTGTTAATTTTAATAATGGTTTAATTTTCCAGCTGAAATGATCTCGAATTAAAAAGTTCAATAATTTAATTCAGGTAAAAATTTGATGAGAAAGAATGATAAACAGCAAAATAGTTTTAACCCAATTTGATTAAATAAAAGTAAATGAAATAAAAAGGAATTGAAATTAAGTAGTAAAGTCTTAAGTAATATTAAAAAAAAGTAATCTGAAAAAGTTTATTTCATTTTATAGGAGGAAGTGTATTCATAGGATTGTTGTCGTTCCTATTTCAGTTTTTCTTTTCACTTAGCTCTTTCACTTTTATTTTGTCTTTTATTATTCAAAAATATTCAACTAATTCTTTGATATGAATGATAGAGGATTTATTTATTTGAGAATTGTTGAAGTATATAAAATAATAATACTTCTAAAATATTCGGTAGGAATTATTTGTAGGGAGTAAAAATGTAATTTCATTGCATTTTATAATGCATGCAAATAATGTTGCTTGAAATAATAAAACAGATAATTTTTTTTATCAAGCGTTTTTTTTTTGATGCAATAATTTGGAAAAAAAATTTCACTTCAATTAATATTACTTGCAAAATTAAATGTTCCGCAATGTTTTCATCAAACTTTTCCAAATGGCTTCGATGGAGAATATACTTCGCTTCTTTTAATTAATTTGCTTTTCACATATTTCCACTTCTTGCTTATTTACATTTCTTCATTTTCATAATTATTACAGAATGGACAAAAAATCAGACATCACGTTTTAATTTTTATACTTTTATATAATTTTATTGCACGATAATTTTGATATCGTTATTAATTTTATATTTTACTACTTCCCTATTAAAATGCAAAAGTTTGTAACCTACCGCATGGCATACTTTCCATTTAATTTATTTTATGACGTTTTGAATTTGTTCTGCACGATTTATGTAATCCACGTCGAAAATGAAAATATCTTGCATGGATCAATGGAAAAGCTCCCATTTCTTCGCGTCATAATTTTTTTGTAGTCCTTTAAATTCAAAATTCAAATCATAAAATATATGCTTATTAGTGAAAAGAAAAAAAAAGTACCATCATAATGCTATTAAATATATGCGCTCATATTTTATTTTATCATTGAGTATTAAAATTTTTTTTTTTTTGATTTCCCTTCAATAAATTATTTATTGTAGTTATATGCATTTTGTTACAGCATTGGCGAAAAAAGCAAAATTTTGAAGGAAATTTTACTATGTTGTAATTTTAAATAGAAGAGATTACTTCAGAACTGAAATAACAAAAAAAAATTTTTTGGTATTTTTTTTTTAATTTCAATAAATTACCAAAATTTTCTATCATTTCGTTTCTATCGAATCTATTTGCATTAGTTGATATTGTTTGATAGCTGTTAGGAAATATTAAAATTTATTGAAATTAAAAATATTTTACCAAATTTTTACTTCAGAACTAAAGTAATAGAAGAAATTTGAAGTTATCATTTCTGATAATGTTAATCAAAAAGCTCATTTTACCTGGTCTCATTTTGATCAATATTTATGGGAAAAGAATTGATTACGATGGGTTAGAGATTTTTCTTTTTTGCTTGACATTAATAAAAGGATAAATTAATTCGGAGGATTACAAACTACAAATTATAATAAGGAGAAAAAAAAAACGGGTATTTCATCTTTCATCATACATGCGAGATATTTTAGTTTTCTAATAGAATCTATACTGTTTAATAACCGAAACTTAAATACCTGAAACAGCAATATCTGAAGTAGCATTACAACCGGATAACAAATGATGCATTGGCCTTTCGAATAAAGCTAATAAAAGTAGCCAATAGTTATTTTTCCCATTTTGCTTTGTTTATCTATCTGAAAATTCGAAACTACCAAATTTCAAATTTCGCTTCTTTTTTTTAATCATCAAAATGGATAGGTGTAATTTCCTCGCACAAATACTGCATAAATGAAATTATCTTGGTGTAATTATACATAATTAATTAATAATTTTTTGCTATAAGTTAGCACAAAATTTATTTCAAGTTAAATGAAAATAAGTATGTGAGGAAAAGAAACAAAACTTATTGTCATCTTTCTGTCATATAATTTTTTTTTCATGAAAATATAAATTTTTTTTAGTTTTTTTTTTTTAAATGAAACTATAAATTCTTTTCTCCAGTTTCTTTATAGAACTATAAATTTTTTTTTAATGAAATTATAAAAATTTCAAGAGTTATTTTATGAAAATGTTGAAATGATTTTTTTTAAGATTATTTTTTTTAGCAGTGGCAAAAGAATGATGAAACAATGGTGGGAAGCAATGCAATGGATTCCATTGATTGGTAAAATTGAATCAAAAAAATGGTGGAGCGGAAATTTCAAACCCTGGAATGGAGATTTTGAACCATGGCGTAAAAATAATGGCAATGAAGATTTTATTGTATTTCCTGGTGGTCGATTTGGTGCATGGGGTGATCGTATTTTTATTGGGAAAAAAAAATAAAAGTTTTCTTTTTCTTTTTTTTTTTGGTTATATAAATAAATTATTTGGAGAGACTTTTTAATATACTAATTAATTAAATAACTTAAAATGCAATTTGAGTTAGCTGAATGAAACCATCAAAATTCCAAATTTCTTAATAATAATTGCTATAAATGTATAAGCAAGTTTTTTGGTGAAAATTTTTCCTCTGTTATAACCATTAATCATATATGTAATATAACTGACAATTGTGATTATAGCACACTCTATCCTTCATCATTTTTCATTTTCTTTTAAATTGAATTATAAAAACTCTAATTTACTATTGAAGTTTTTCAGAAAATCATCATGCTGAATTTTACTTTTTCTTATGATTTGAATGAAATTTTATTAAAATTCATTTACTTATTCATAGCATAAATGATGATATCCATCCTCCCTTTAAAATCTCTTGAAAAAAATTATTGAAATTAAAAATCCATTTCAGTTAATGCAATCGTATTACTTATGAAATTCACATAATTTCCAGTATTATGTTATTAAAGTAATACCTCTTCTAAACATTTCAAAATTTTACGAATTTGTCCTAAACTTATCATTATTTCTTCCAAAAAATCATGGCAAAGTAATGTATCTTTAAAGCGCTTAAATCGAATTTTTCGAAACTTTATATAACGATAATTTTGATAATTACATATGAAGTTAAACAATTGATATTTGAAAAACGTTTCAATTCTGCATGAGAGTTACAACTAGCTTGTATTTTGCATCAATTTTTCATAATTTTCATTGATTAATATTGCTTTATTTACAATTATTATTCGAAAATTGATTAGACGAACAAGTTTACAGCACTGAAATAATTTGACTGAAATTATTAGAATGCTTAGTATGAAGTAAAGATTGCATTGCTAAACGTCCTGAAATTTTTGCTAAACATCTTGAAAAAAAAAAGATGTAATTAGAATTCTAAATTACAAACCTAATTACCAGAAATCATAATCGATGAATAGCTCGGATATGCTAATTTCATCATTTTATTAATTAGCAGATTCAGTTGGAATATCATTTCATAGTTATATGGAAATAACATGCTTGAAGAAGATGAAGAATGTTGGTAGATTGTCTTTTAGGGATTATTAATGAGGAAGATGTGGTAATTGAAAAATTCAATGATTGCCAATAAAATAATTTTTAATGCTCTCACCCAATGTATTTCAAAGCATAACTTTTTCCGGTTATTATCCATTACAATCTATTTTCAGTAAAAATTCACGAACGTATGATTACTTTTTATCACATAGACGTAATAGAAACTTGAAACTACTATTAATTTACTTTTTCAACTATTTTTATATTTGTGAAATCTCTTAATTGTTGCAAATTTTTGAGGTGTATTTATTTTTAAATGGCGATTTATTCATGTTTCTTTCTAATTAATAAAATTTTCACGTTTATTTCAAGCGTTTACCTACGAGCGTGTAAGAATGAATTTTTCTGCAATATGCTAAAAAAATAAAATAAGTAATGAATGAATTATTACTTCATCATTATCCACATTCTGCCCGATATTCACGGTAGTAATAAATGATATGCTAATAAATAAATGACACGTTTATGACCTAACTCTGATTGACGTGTAAATTTATTTCGATGGAAATAAATGTAAGCAAAATTGTTTAAATTAGTAATGTCAATGAAGTGAAATTTGAACGTGATAATACTTTGACGATTTAAATATTCGAGCTTGAGTTATGAATTATACAAAAAGACAAAAAAAAAACAAATATCTGGAGTAAAAAAAATAAAATAAGAACTAAAACTGGCAGTACTCTTTTGCTGATAATTAAATTTATTGATAAGAAGAAACAAAAATATAAATGTAAATTTTGTGGAGGAAAAAGAAATACATTGTTAATATGAAAATATCATTGAGATGATTGCATATATCAAGCTATTCTTCAATGAAATGCCATTAAATATTTATAGTTATCTTTAATAGTGGAAAATCTTACATGAAAAAAAAAACACTCATAAAAATCTCATAAAAAATAAAGAAAACTTGCATAAAAAAATACTCCTTTGCACAATTAATAAATCGATTAAAACGAATATGTTATATGGATAACTTTTCGATATCCGTATTCATATTTATCTGGAAAACCTTTAATTTCAGGAAAAATTTGAGACTATTGCTGATTCTGATTTATTTGCAAACCATTATTATAGACGTTAAAGTTTCGAATTAAAATTTCAAAATAAATTATATTTAATAATTGAACAATAATTTTGAAGGATCCTGCGAAAAACTTAAATCAACGGCATAATTGAAAAAATCACTTTACTGAAAAAAGTTTATACTGACCCATGCAGAAATAAATATTGCTAACGGCCAAAACTTGTCATTCTCACTTCCTCTATCAGTGATACAAAATTTTTATTCATATGAATAATTTTACATCACAAAATTTCACGTTTTCCGACAACAACTACAAATGATATAATATATTCTCAAATCCGTTTAAGTCCAAAATCGAATGTTACACTTCCGATATGTACACAACACTCAAAAGAATGTTTTTACGATATAACCTATTCTCACGTATACTTGGCTCAGTATAAAAAGTCCAGAGCAAAATTGGAATTCACGCACATTTCTGGTTGTATCAAAAGTTGCACTGAGTGAGCTATTCCATAATTTATAAGATAGATGGGAAATATTGCATAATCATCAACAAACAAAAAATGCGCCTAAAACATCTTATTATGTCGCCGTATCAATATCATTAATGAAACCGGAAATCTCATTCGGAATCTAAACAAATTACGTGATATGGCTATCGCTCTTTCTTATACAGAGTGGACGTCAAATGCACTAATGAAAAGAACTTTGAACTCAAAGACTGTTTAAAAGATTGAAGCTTCAGTTATTAATAAAAAAAACACCAATTCTGCAACAAATCTTTAAGATGAATTTTATTTTGTCATTCAATGAACAGGAATAATAACAAACACATTAGGTTATACCATCATTTCAAAAACTCGAAACAACAAAATAGAATTATCAAAAATTATTCGAACTATGGATAATTAAAACTAGTGGGTTCAGGATTTTCTGAAAAAACGATTATGTCACTGATGTATTGATCGGTTACAAGAGGCTTGTAAGTTTAAATTTCTCAAGTAAAAGCTTGAAAAGGCTCTACGGAAAGAATTCAGCGAGCATTATTTCGTCTAACTTTTTAAGTTACTAATTATTAAAGTCCTAATTTAATAACAATCGAACAATATTTTTGAAAAAATATAGTAAATAAAATCGAATTATTTATACCAGACTTAAAATTAATAGGTAGGATTGGAGAATCTGAAATTTTCCTAAAAAACGATGTCAATAAATTATTAATTTTAAACAAGCTAAAGCGCTGCAATCCTTTTACACTGTTCTTCCATTTCGATTTGAATTTCTTGCGGCAAGTCTGGCCCGACCTAAAAAGAGGTGGTTTTTATTAAGATTATTATGAGATTATTAGAAAAAATAAGAAAAAAAAACATATAAAATCCGAAAAATTGAAGAGAAAGAAATTAGAGATGCATAAGGGAAAAAGGACAGGACAAATTACTCTTCCAACTAATCTTTTTTTTTTGTTTTTTTATTCTGCATCAAAATATTTTTTTTCTTATTTCTGTATCAAAATATAAAATATTTTGTTCTTTTCCTTTACAAAAATTAAAAGAAAGTGAACGATTAATAAAATGCACTGATTCATTTGCTCGATATCTTACGTTAAAGGAAAAGTAAATCTGTTTGCAATCACCGTCGCATAAATTCAGCGTATTTAAACCTTACCATTTCTTTTGATGTGAAAATGTAAAAAGAGAGACAAAATTAGAACAGCTAGGAAAAAAATGCAAAAATTGAAACGAAGATTATTCCTTCAAAACGAAACATAAAATTGAAAATAATGAAATCAAAGCTTTTACTTGTTCTGCCATAAATTTCTTATTCTCCTGAACATCTTCCATCCAATATTGCTTCGGAATGCTCAGTAATTCTTTCATGTTTATATCATAAAGACCTTCAAGGTTCAACGAATTTTCTTTGGGTATGATACCAATTGCACTTTTTTGTCCAATAGACTCATCGCCATCTAGACGTTTTATGATCCAATCAATTACTCTAATATTTTCGCCAAATCCTGGCCACAGGAAGTTACCATTTGTATCACGACGGAACCAATTAACATGGAAAATTTTCGGGACCTATGAAAAAAATTTTGAAAAATATTGTAATTTAATCTGATTACAAGAATCACACTAGATCTAAAAAAAACAGTATGCTAGGTTGCACTGAAATAGAATCATATAACAATTTCAGAATACAGCAATTAAAAAATGAAAAATAGAAATATTAAATCATTTAGATCACGTTTTATGCATATATTCCATTTTTGATGTTCATATGTTAAAATCAAAAAACCCACAGAAAAATGACTACCTAAATTTAGGTCAGCCTCAGCTATAATAATTTTTTTTTTTTTTGGATTTCCACATGCATTAAGAGCAATTTTTAATAATGACCTTATGAATGCCATTATTGAGACTCAGCCAGTGCTGAAGATAATTGCCAAAATTATAACCCATAAAAGGTCGCATCGCCATCGGATCATGCATCACCACTTTGCCTTTAAATTCAGCTGCAGCTGTTGCTTCAGACTTTAGGCATGCACCTACAAAAACTCCATGCTGCCATGAAAATGATTCAAACACCAGCGGTACACCTTCTGGCCTGTAATTCACATTCTTATCAGACTATTAGAAAAAAATCCAAATGTTAGCAGTTTGACTTATATGAATTTTATTTTTTTTAGAACGTGTAACTTTTTCAAACCAAGTGGTGATTGGCACTGCTAAAAACGAATATAAATAGAGAACAACAACAAAATATTAATATACCATTTCGTCACAATTATTTCTAACCAATAATAGGATTTAACAATCTTGCAATTAATTCGGAAATTTTAGATCTTCTATACCTTATTACATAACTCTTAAAACCTGTATAACTAATACTTTACACGAAAACTGTTGCTGCAATCTTTTTGATTTCACCGACTATTCCTTTTTAGCTTTTTAATAAGTGAAGGAATGAAAGACCCACGTGAACAAACCACTATGACTTAGGCTTTGCCGAAAATTCAGAGGCCAGATCTAATTTTATCAAGTTCCAACTAAAATAATGCTGCAACTATTTTTACATTCCACTACAAACTCTCATACCAACCTTCTTCCGCCGAAAATGAATGCCTCAATTGGTACACCACTAGGTTCTTCCCATTTTGGATGAATAATTGGACACTGACTAGCAGGACAGGTAAATCGCGAATTAGCATGTGCAGCCTGACCTTCCTCACCAATGTGCCATCTGTTGCCTAGCCAATTGATTATATCAACTTTCGGATTCTGAAAATGAACTGAGTAGTATTACGATATTTTATGCAACTATAACACTACGTCTGTCATTTCGATTTTTCCATTAGCAAAAAATTTTTATACAAACCCTTTTCTTTCTTACGAAATTTCAGGAAAATATATTCTGGATCAAATTCTTGGATCAAATTCAGCTAAATTACAAACCGACCTTGATTTCTTTTTCCAGTCCTTCCCAGAAGTATTCTCCATCAGCAGTTTCAGCAACATTTGTAAAAACGCTATTTTTTTGAAAGGATGCCATTGCCACTGGATTAGTTTTATTCGATGTTCCAGGTGCAACACCAAAAAAGCCTGCCTCAGGATTTATTCCGTACAATTTACCATCACTACCAAATTTCATCCATGCTATGTCATCACCTGAATAAATCAATAAAAAAATCCAAGGTTATTATTTTCCTTAAAAATCTAAAAATAACTGCAGAAAAAACAAAGGAACATAAGATGAAATTTCTTTTGCGTACAGAAAGAGTGTAAAAATTCAATTTAAATCAAACCGATGCATCGCACTTTCCAACCCGGAAGAGTTGGCGTCAACATTGCAAGATTGGTTTTACCACAGGCTGAAGGGAAGGCAGCAGCAAGAAAGCGTTCTTTACCATTCGGGGGCATTACTCCTAAAAATTCATTTTCGCAAAAAAAAGTACTTTTTTGAACTCCTCCACAAAATTTAGCTTCGAAATGCATGTGGAAGTTGCCGAAATTGATGAAATTATTTAAAAATAATATTTTAAACACACAGTAAACTTAATTTACCCATGATAAGCATATGCTCTGCCATCCAACCTTCCTGTCTAGCTATATTTGAAGCGATCCGTAATGCAAAACATTTTTTTCCAAGCAATGAATTACCACCATAACCAGAGCCAAAAGACCAAATTTCACGCTGTGCTGGAAGATGTGCTATAATCGTTTTCTCTGGATTACATGCCCAATTATTTACCAGCTTTTCTGAAAAAAAAACAAAATTTTAGAAGGCTTTAAATTCCAAGCAACTTAGAAACAATCCAATTAGATGTGCCGTTTAATAATTATACGATAAAATTATCCTTTTTAAGCAAAAATTATACAAAATAGTTTATTTCATCACAAATATTTGCCGTAGTTTATTTCATTATAAATATTTACAGCAATTTATTTCGTTACAAATATTTACAGTTGATCGTCTTAATTAATATTTAATATTTTATGAATAATATTACAAACCTCAGTGAAAATTTTTTCAACAGTCTGATCAAATATAGAGAATGTCAAATTTATCACTCCTTTCTCCTTAAGTGAATTTAGTAAATCACTGAAATGAAGAACAGAGCTAAACATACCTTTAACTGGTTCCGGGACACCAACAGAATGAATACATTTCACAAAATTATTATCACCTAAAGTTTCCCATACTTTTGGTGTTACTCGAGTCATAATGCGCATGCAAAGAACAACATAACTGGAGTCCGTAACCTAGAAATGGAAATAGAATATGAAACAATAAATATGAAAATAATAAGAGTGACCTTCTAACGAGATGGTATTCCGAAAATGTGAGAAGATCAAACCAATGTAGTTACTTAATCCAAAAAGTTTGACAATATAAGTGAAAGGATTCTATAAAGTACACAATAAGAAATTATACAAAACAAGAAAATTTTACAAATTAAAAAAAAAACCTGTATTCCAATTTTTGAAATTGGTCCGCCAACTGGACCCATGGAAAATGGAATCACATACATTGTCCGTCCTGAAATAACCCCACTAACGATTTATTTTTTTGAATAAAAGTTTTGGGAAAAAAATATAAAAATGTTATCTTTTTCAAAAATTAATTGTTCTTTAATATACCATTCATGCAACCAGGAAATCGTGCATTTTTCTCATTCTCAAATTGCTCAGGTGACATCCAATTACCCATAATCGGTTTTATACCCACAGCTGTATGACACACCGTGTCAAATTTTTTTGGTGTTACCATCCATGTTTTACTTTCTATGCGGGCAACATCCTGAAAAAAGTAATATTCTTGGAAATTTAGATATGATGCTTCTTTCAGCAAATATCAAACCATTAACGAATTATCCAATAAAACAAACACATCATAGAAACAAACAGATTCTTAATGAAATCGAATTTGAAACCGAATCAACAAAGAATCTTTACCTAACTTTAAAATTCTACAAACAAACTATCTGTAAATTCGGTTTCATCAAGAATGTGTCTGATCAAAAAAAAAACTATTATTTGGATACCTGAGCAATTAAAAACTAACTCTTGGATCCGTTCTACAAATATAGTTATTCTCGTAAGCCTTTAACTTCCTCAACATACCAGCGTCAATCGTTTGTCGAATAAGTTGGTCAGCTTCTTCCTTTGAGCCATCACAAATTTGCACTTCTTTCGGTGTCATCAATCTTACACTTTCCTCGATAAATTTTCGAGCCTTTTCAGATATCATTCCATGATTTCCCTGAATTAAATATTTTATTTCGGAATTTCATGCGGAACAAAAGATTTCACTCCCAGAATTCACTGCTCAAAATATTTAATTTATTTTTTTTTGTGTTTTCAACTACTATTCACGTAGTTATTATTACTTTGTTTTCACCATTACCCTGACATTATTTAAAAATAGTAAAGTTATCGTCTATTAAAGCTCCAAGACTATTACACGTGAAGCAATGCACATAAATACACACAAAAATAGTTCCATCCTTTCCCGGATATCCATTCAAAATCTATCTGAACTCAACAAAATTATAAGATACATTTCAAATAAAAAAGTACCGTCTGAAAATAATCAATTATATATCACAAAACTGATTAAGAATGATATGAATGTGTAAATAAATATGCAAAGAGAAAGTAAATAAAATCAGAAAATAGGTAAAATACCATACGCATTCAAAAAGATTTTCCATAATCAGCGATTGAGGATTCGTTGAATAGCATGCAAATTGCTGCACAGACGGAATTATTATTGCCCTTACATTATTGAACTGCTCACAGTAATTTATTCCAAGTATTTGAGACATGGGAAATTTCCGTAAAATTTTAACAGTATGCTTATTCATACCAAGACCGGGCATTTTTTAATGTTGCCTGTAATCAATGCAAAAAAAAAAAAAACTTTTTTTAAAATGAATAAAATGCGATGAAAAAATTTAAAAAGCGCTACGAATGATAAAAATGTTTTGTGCAGTTTGTTTACTTTTAGATTTTAACAAAAATATTTCCTCATAAATTTCATTATCCAAGCTATCTTAATTAAGTTTAGTCATCCTTTAGCTAATATTTTTTTCAACTATTCCAATCCCGATCTGTTCTAGCATACGCTAGAAGCAGACAGATCATGTGTCCGATATAATCTTCCATGAGATTCTCAAAAATAGGATGAGAGCAATTGAACGGTTCTGTTCAATGCATTAGCCGATGAACCATTTGTTTACTATCTACCAAAATATGATTTTTCAAAAATTTGCGGCATATCAATTCTGTGATGTTCCATCCAATTTCATGGATATTTATTCATGAAATTGGACAGAACATCATAGAATTAATTGAGCAAAACGTTACAGAACAACGGGAACAACATCAGATGATTAAATTATTTAGTTCTTAATTACTTATGTGAAATGTTTCAAAATTTTCCAATTAATTGTGATACTAACTAAAAGGTAAGGGTGAGTGGCTATTTATAGCAACGTTTAAGTAATACTTGAATTATGAGAGAAATTTAATTCAGGTTGATAACTTTTAAAACTGCACCGTTTGAGGTTTCATCCTGCATACTTCATCCTAATAATCATTTTCGTCGTATTATTCTGCAGTGATTTCCTCACGTGAAATAAAATCTATCCATCAATTTTACTGAATCTTTCATTGGTTAAGTATTGTCATAAGTTTCCAACAAATCTTAATTTAAGAAAGATCAAACTAAATTTAAAAAAACAGGATTTTCAAAACTATCATAATACTACTATCTGAATTATTTTACATTATAATCCCACAAATTATGCAATACCTTCATAATCAGCTCGGAATTATTACATAGTGATGTATTATGGAAAAAAAAAGTTAACAAACTATTTATCTTTAATAGTTCTTCAGTTAAGCAATAGCTAACTTCATATGATGCTAACAATTTATATTGTCTCCAGAGAATTCAAAATGTGACGAAAATTTATGTCACAAATCATCAATGAATACCAAATATTCGCGATTTACGCATAAACCTATCCAATAATTGAATGAAACATTACTCTCAATCTTTGTTACAATTCAAAGATTGCATTATTTCAACACTCTTTTAATGCTTACTCTCTCATAAATTATAACACTCTCTCATATCCCTTCAAATACATTATATTACTTCATTTTCAATAAATTCGCTTAACGTATTTGCTATACTTACTAGTTGGCTTATTGTTTTATTAACTTCAATACTGGCATAATTTCAGTAATATAAAATCACGCACGCCACTACGTGTAAACATTCTTACTAATTAATGACAAATATTTGAAAGAACATATGGTAATCTTTTGTAGTCTATTCGTTGCTAATATTTAATTCTTGAATGCTTTTTTGAATATTTCCATCAGAAAGATCAATTTTAGATATTATTAGCATATAATAATCATTTCGATACATTGAAATCATATGGAAATTCCTTTAACAAAACAACTTATCATTTATTTTGATGTAAAGCGATGACACACTTAAATGAATGAAACGTTACAAGAAATAAAAGAATACCATAGTTTTATTTCCTAGAAAATGCAGTAAAAATAACTTTAAAAAAAAGAAATAACGGAGTTTTGAAATGATCGGCACGGAAATAACGAAAAGCAAGAATAACTGTCCTGCCGGCCAACAGCTTTGAATTTTTTTCTCAAATAATTTTTTAAATTTTTCAGACTAATTCTCAAATAAAAAAGCACAAGCATAGAATCAGGGTGAGTCGTCGAAATTTGTAAACGGAAAGAATTTGAATGCGAAAAGCAGCTACAAATTTTCCGAAACAAATTTAATTTCTTCTTCCATTTATTAACTTTTGTTAATAAATGGAAAAACGAACAAAACGGAAAAGAAATGGTACGATTGTTTGCTTGCTGTCATTTTTGCATTGTTCACCAACAATATACTGAAATTCATGTGAATAAATGATAACATTTCATTGAATGTGGTTGCAAGTTTGAGATTCAAAATTATAAAATCATATTTATAGTCAGAAAAAATTCTTTACAAATTCATTAAAAAAAATTGCTGACATTTGGAACGGTTAAAATTCAATACATTATGGGTTAAAAACTCATACCGATCCAAACCTATGCATTGAAATGAAATTCAAAAATTTTTAATTACGTATGTTCTTATGAATGTATTCTTTACGCCGATAACTACATTTTAATTCATTTAAAAAACCGGGAAGATAATAAGATCATATTTGAGAGCTAGAAGCATAAAGAAAAAAGTTGAATCTAAAAAACCAAAAAGATTTACATAAATAGATTGGACGGCAGCGTCTTGAAATGAAAACAAAAAATGACAGGCAAAAAAGAGAAATGATTTGATGAAATGAAAACAAAAAATGACAGGCAAAAAAGAGAAATGATTTGAAGCTCTGATAGAGGAGGCCGAAGATTAGACCAACATTTCTTAAAATAATTTCAAAGCAACTAAGTCCCTTATTAATACATCTGAAGTAACAAAAAAAAAAAGTTAACTCTTTTGTATCCAGGAATCGCATCAGCAGTACAAAAATAATTTGAACAACAAATTTGCTTGAATAATGATTTTTTAAGATAAACGAATGAAAGAAAAAAGAAAATAAAAGAGCAAAAAAATCGTCGCAGATGGTAATCAAGAGGCTTCATGCTAACATTGTGTTTCATGTTTCACTTCAATTTTTTCAACTGTCATATCTGGATTCATATTAGTCGCTTCTAGAATTGCTTGGCTCAGTTCCTGAAAAATGCCTCTTGTTTTTCATCACTGATCTCTTGAGAAACTTAAGAAATTAAAGAAATTATAATTTTTGGGGAACTAGATATGTCAGCCAAACAGAAATTAAGATCTGCACAGAGTAACATAAGAAAGAAAATATTATTTCTTTCAAAAGTGAAGAAAATAATCGGAACTGATTTCATTTTTGTTTCTTTCCTTCTTTTTTGTTTAACACTCCCCAAAAATTAAAACGATTAAGTTAAATTCATTTACCGCAATTACTTTTCTATAGATCAAAATTAACACTGATTTATTAATTTCAAATCAAAAAGTCGAATTCAAAAATCCGAAATTATTTTTAAAAAGTAGCTGGAGTGTCGCTCAGTTGAACTGCATTCTTTCTAACTGTAAGATTTTTATTAAATGATTTAAAAGTCAGCTGATGTATGTTAGAATAACAATTTTATTAACAGATTCAAAAGAACTTACAGCATCATGGTCAATATCATCACAAGAATGAATAGTTACACGATGTTCAACGTGGGTTTCCATAGTACCATTCTTCTCAGTTTTATACTGAAAATATTTCGAAATGGAAAAAAGCATAACTCTTCAAATTCAGAAATAAGCAATACAAAGAAGAAATAAGTGGACAGATGTTTTATTAAACATTAAGCATTTCTAACTCTATACAATTCCTCTTGCTGATAAATAATTATCGTTATTTACGTAACAAGTGTTATTAAATGCATAATTTTATATTTGTATAATCCATAACATTTATTCCTTCTTACTCTTAAAAAACTATTTAGCAAATTGCAAATGAAGAGCATAATGTTTCATAAAGAAACTACGATACATAAATTTAAATTAAAAAAAATCTCCTTACAGTTATTGTTTCGATAGTGCGATTGCCTTGTGTAACAGTACGACTGGAAACTAATTCCCCTGGAATATCTGAATAATCATTCCCAATGACTTTGTTTATACCAGTCGTTGGTTCGTAAGTCGATTTATTGTCCGGTGTTTCCATAATCGATCCTTGAAAGCTTGTCATGTTCTCATTACCGTTATATACAAATGACTTCTCTGTTGCCTCAATTTCCTGTAGAAACAATAACTCATGAAAATCTAAGTTCTTGCTTTCTTAATATTCATTATTTAACAGCTTAAGATTTGCATCTACGATATATTTTGATTATCAGCAAACACTATGATAAAGATAGAGACATCAAGTGATGGTGGACAGAGCGCTTTAGACCGGAACATAATCACTCGGTAATTCCTTATAAACGATGACAGCATACTTAGGAAGACGAGTCATTTGGCCAAAAAAGGAACGACCAACAGAAATGACCCTTTATTCGTGTACTGCAGTTAATAATAAGGCAAAAAATCCGCTTTAATAAATGCAGTAAGGCAATGCTAAATTAATTCCCAAAACAAGCAAATAAACACAAATCATCTGCAACCATAACAAAACGTGGGATTTACTAAAAAGTAAATACACGAAAAACATTACAGAATTTTCATTTTGACTTGAAGCACTAGAAGTTTGATATGTTTTTTGCTGCACCGTATGTGTCACTTGTCGCGTTTTAATCCCTTTTCTGAAACAATAACTAATCCGAGTATAGTAGAGAATTTCTTCTTGAAAAAACACATACCATAAAAAACATTTCCGCGATATATGTTTAACTACAGAAAAAAATTCCAGTTAACACTATCAAAAATGCCCCATCATTTTGTAAAATATACCGCTTTCCAATTTCATGACTATATAAACTGAATAGCTGTATTTTGTTATTCTAAAACGCCTATTTACTTTTAGTTTCAAAAAAATTCTGAAGATTTTAAAAAATAAAAAATTTTTCGAAATAACTGAAACAAACTTGATAATATTTTCTTGATGATCAACACTGGTGACCACTGCTTCAGGTTCACTTATTACTGTTTCTTGCCACAATTCAATGTTTGCATGAGGAAGAGAACTGTCCTGTAATAAACAAAATAGCGTTTACAATAATTATATTGTAAAATAAGAAATGCATATAGGAAAATTAAATATTTTAAAAGATTTAGAATTTTTTGGAGTTTTTCTCTACTCGTTGCGAAATTGATTTATTTTAGCACTTAATGCTGTCAATAACTAAAATACGAGACAAACAATATCAATCTTGCATTGGAAAAGAGTGTTCAAATTTTTCAGTTAGAAAATTTTTAGACTTTCGTTTTTGGAAAAAATTTAAAGACTAATAGAAATTAAATTAGAAAACCGCAACAAATGATTAATAAATGCGGTAATAACTTGCGATTTTCTATTAGAAAAGAAAATAAATATCACCCCTCTTGGATTTGTGTACTTTTTTCTCCGAAAACTAACGTTTGTTTATATTTGCTCTGGAGCTTCATCGTTGCGCTATGCTTAACTTCAGATTTTCATTTTATAATAAAGTTAACAACTTTCTTCATTTTACAGCCTCTTAATCATGCTATAATATTGAAGAACAAAAATGATGATCCTTGCCTTTATTATCATTTTTAAGCAAATAGTTCTCTTTATTAGCTTGTAACGGTAGATTTAAAACCTATAAAATTTTGTCTTCCTTTATGCTTACATCTTTGATCGAAACATCTAATTCTAAACAAAATACGAGAATTTGTTTTCTTCAAGCAGATTCTTTATAAATATGATTATCATTTTGCTTTTCATATTTTTACGATGTCAAAATTCATTTTTCTTTTTTAGCTTTTTTCTTCATTTTTCGTTCTTTAATATTGTAGCATGATTATGAGGTTGTAAAATGAGAAAAGTTACTAACTTTATTATAAAATGAAATGAAAATCTGAAGTTAACCACAGCACAACGATGAAAGATTACGAGAGGAAATATACTGCTATATTCCTCGAACGTGGTTTAAAATAATCGTTTCTAATTATAAAATCAAAACCTCAATTTTTATAATGTAATACCTTTTGGAGTTGTTTTAACTTCAGATTTCTCATTTCAAAAAGCTAATAATTTTTTGCATTACATATTTTTAATATTTTTTCTACTAAATGGTTATACATTACCTTATTACATTATGCGAAATGCGATCTGGAAAAATACTAAGAATAACAAGAAAAGGCAACTAAGTATTAGTCAGTTTATAAAAGTGACAGAAACATTTAAATAAACTAGGAGAATTAACAGACATCAAAACCCTGGCATTATAAGAGGCAAACATCAGAGATATTCGAACGATCGATTTAGGCAGAGGATTAGTGTAATAGTAATGACTTATAAAAGCAGATTTTTCACAGATGACGTATAGCTCGACATTCACAATTACTTATAAAACATTAAATTACCTAATGATTTTTCACAAAAAAAGTTTGATTTCTCAAAATTTAAAGCAACCTAACAGAAGAAGAGTTAAAGTAAGGTGTGAAATAAAGGTATGAAATTTTCATAGAAATAAAAAATATATTTTGTGATTCAAGTAATCAAACAATAACAGACTACAATCATTAAATCACAATACTAATCAAACAATAAAAGAAAAAATCCACTAAGAAAACTATCAATCTCTGACCGATTTCGAACCGACCCATTATTTCACCTTTAATTCTAAAATAATGGTCCATTTATATAAAAAATATTTCATAAAGATAAAAAAGTAAGACTAATTTCGAGTTGACAACTTACAACATTAGCCGGATGAGTGACTGGTAGAGTTTCCACACTCTTTAGACCATACATTTCTTTGATTTCTTTTAGTAGCATGCATCCGCCGTCTAATTCTGCTTGATCAGAAGGTAATTCACTAGTCACTTCTGGCTTGTTTGCCCCTTTCTATAATATGTTTATTGCGAAGCGAAAAGAAGACATATAAAATTGCAAAGAATTATAATGAATACCTCAGTATTTTAATTACTGATCTCACGCAATGTGAAAGGTGCCAAATACAAATGATTTCTTTCTAATATTACTTATCCCGGGTAATAATAGGTGCCGATATGATGATTTATACTTTATGAAACAATAGCCAATTTCAAAAATCTGCGAAAAAACACCTTTGCCTGGTTGAAAGAGAAGGAATCATAGTGTGACGCAATTTCCATTTCAGATGTATTGGAACTTTCGCTTTCATCTGGTGACGCTTCTATTTTTGATCGTTTCTTTCTTTTCTCTAATTTCTTTCCAATGTCTGATGACGGTAATGTTTTGGTAACCACCTAAAACAAAAACAGAATATGTTATCTGAACTAATGTATTTCATGCTTCAAGACACCAATATACAAAAATACTTTACAAAAATAATTTCTAAATTTCACAACAGATGAAACAAACACAACAGAATACACAAGCACAGCAAACACAACACAAACATTCAAAGACCAATATCGCATAAAATGGCTACATGACTCCTATCCACGAAAAGCAAAAAATCTCGATTTTAAAGATTTTTGTTTCGGTCATGCAAAAAAAAAGTAACTTCAATTGATGAATGACTTAAACTATGTAGATGGCAACCATATAATAATTAAAGTTACAAATCAAAAAAGCATGCTGACAAAAAATGAAAAAAACTAATCTAAGAACCTAATCGAAAGGGGAAATATGTGATATATAAACTTTCCAAATATTCCCACCCTGAATTAATATAAAAATTCCAAAAGAAAAAAAGCAAAGAGAGTCGTCTATCAATTTTGTATTATAGCACACACCTGCGTTACTTGTCGCTTGGCTTCCTCCACAAAATCACTTGGAGTTTTGGAATCTAGAACCGGAATATCTGGCGGTGTCTGGGTAAATTTATACGGCTCATCTGATATTTCACCACCACTGATTCCACTTTGATCAAATAACTTTCCAGTCTCGAGAATTCCCGGCTCCATATACTGAACTTTCTGTCTTTCCGTATCTACATCCACCTTTTCCCATATCAATTCCGAAACAAATGTCTTTTCCATCACTTCAGATTGTTCTTGTCTCCAATTCTCGTCCTGATCCTCCGATAAAGCAGACATATTATTATACTCTTCCATGTCTTTCAAGCAGTCACTAAACCACTGCTTCAATTTGCTTTCTTTTTGTTCTCCAGTTTCACTAATAATCTTATCAGTCATTGTTGCATCATCTTGTTCGCCACCGAATCCGATCTGTTTTGTCATATAACCTGCAGCTGTACCGGTAGACATCTTCGTATCCTCAATGAGTGCCGAAAAATTGGGAACATATGAGAAATCATAAACTGGAATAAAATCTTGTCTTGTTTGCTCTCTAACTTGAGTACCATTTGATGAAGACTCAGCCGAATCGAGGATATATTTTGTTTGCAGAATGTTATATTCCAATTCATTCGACGGTGATGTCATTCGCATTATTGCTGATTCGGTTCCATGAATATCTTTCCCTGTCAATTTCTCCCGTTTTCGGTGCACATCCTGACCGTAACCTTTCAATTTGCTTCCACGCCATAACGAAGAGAAAAAACTACCTTTGATATTTTTACCACTATCTCTTTTGTTTTCCTTTAAGTTATTATCACTTCCAGTTAACTTCAACTTCATTTTTGGTTCTTCATATGGTATCGGTTTGTCAGCATTATCTGGAAAATCTGCTTTTTGTTTCTTTGTAACAGTTGCTTCACCGGTTTCTACAGCTTCAGCTATATGCGCATCTTTCTTAAGCTCGCTATTAGTTACAATTTTTGCTTCCGATTCACACGGTGGACCACGAAGATGAAACCCTTTTATGATGAAGCTAGATTTCTTGGTGACACCATCATCTGATACATTTATCTCTTTTGCTTTCAAATTTGAATCCTGCTGCAAATCGTTACCAGCATTTCTCAAATTACGCTTAACCTTAATCTTTGCTGTATATCCAACATCGCCACTCTTATCGTACCTTCTTAGATTACTTTCAATTGAATCAATATTTTTCGGTGAAAGAGTAATACTCTTATCCACTAACTGTGATTCTTTTATGTTACTTAACTTGCCGCTCTCGCTGTTCTTTGATGACGATGCATGGGGTGAAATTGCACACATCGCTGCCGCTGCTGCATTTTCCTGCTTAAAAATTCCACGATTACCATTTAAGTTCAATGGTACATCATCAGAAAATTCAGTATCACGTTTAAGATAGATCATAACATTTTTCTTCGTTTCTATATTTGCTTTGTTTTGATCAGTTGGTGATATTGCACTGTGATTTAACGATTTTTCTTCCATATCCGTAGAATAGTCCAATTCATTCTCTTCCTTATCAATTACATAAATAATCGGTTTCTTTTTGCTCCCTGTAGCTAATTGAACATTTGCTTCCTCATGAGATGAATTGGAATTAATAGTGTGATCGAGAGGTTCCTCATTACAACTATTCATATCATCAATGACAAAGTTGCATTTTTTCGAATTTAACTTGTTTTCTTTGTCTGCCGATCTCCAAAAATGTAACAAACCAAACTTCGCACGTTTGCTATTATCGTCAGCATACTCTGAAGCCGTGGAAGGCTTGTTCTTTATATACAGATGTGCATTCATTTTTTTGTTTTCGCTTTTTACATGCAAATCACTTTTCGGCTCCTCTACAGAATCCTTTACCAAGACCGAAGGTGATGATGTTGTTTGCTTTGCAGTAAAATCAGTTGAGAGCTCCGGTTGTTGATGAATAAGATAAGATTTTGGTGAAGCATCCAGTTTTTCTTTTTTATTATCTGAAAAGCCTCCTTCTTTTTCGCTATGAACCGTTTTACGCCAAAATGTAAAAATTCCTTTTCGCTTCGGTGATTCCGTTGCAACATCATTTGTGTCACGTTTATTACTAGGAGTAACATGCAGTATAATATTTTTCTTCGGCTCTTTATACTTTTTTGAGATATAAGAGCTTGATTTTGAAGAACTGCTACTGCCACTACTGAAACTCGAACTTGAACTTGATTCAGTGCTGCTATCACGCAATCTTGTCTTGTGAGAAATTCCACTATGATATGCTGCTGTACATTCCTGGAGAGGTGTGAATGATAATTCCTTTCCATGTTCCAAACAGCTTATTGGTCCATCGTAAGGAACAGTATCAAGTTTATATGTTTCGGGTTTCACGAATGATTTCTCTACAATTTCAACATCACCAGAAATTGTATGATATTTGAAAGGATGCTTCTTGACTTTTCTTGTTTCCATCGGAGTTTTGCAATAAATCTTTGCCGCATACATGGTTACTTGATCTTTCTTTTTCGCCAAAAAAACTTCACTATCATTCTTTTCCTCTTCGTGGTACTTTGCGTCAAAATAATCATTCTTGTTCAGCTGCAAAGCATCAATTTTTTTACTTTTCAAAATACCAGGTTTCTCTTCATTTTGAATCTCTGAAGCATTCCTTCGTTTGTTTATTTTGCGTGATTTCAGATAAGTATTACCATGATGGTATACAGTAGAATATTCATGAATTGGCGCAAATTGTAATCCTTTTGTAAAACTTATGATATCTAAAGGACCTTGATAAGGTGTATGTTCAAGTCTATAACTTTTAGGATTAATATTTTCTTTTGCGACAAATTCCACGGTACCTTTATGTTTTGCTCTCTTAAATGTTCTATAGTTATATGACATGTTTTGTATTTGATTTGGCATTTTTACTGCACGATGCAAAGGTTGAAATGGAATTTCAGTTACTCGAGATAACTTCACTGGAGGAGGTGTATTATCCAGAATATGTATATTGCATGATTGTTCGAGTAATTCTGCCTTTTTGGCCTTTTCTCCTAACTTCCCAATGCCTAATATACTGAATGTCGATCGAGTCGTATGCTGAATATTTTTTGATTCGTCGGCCTTTTTGAGAACAGTTTCTTTCCCTGTATAACTTGATTTACTTTGACTCTCATTAATATGCAATATAGCTTTCATTTTCTGACGGGTACTTTCACTTTTAACATTTTGCGTATCAACTGATTTTGTATCTTTTTTCTTATCTTTTATTTTCTGAGTAGATTTTTGCGTCTCAGAATCGATTGTACGAACAAGTTTCACCGGATCGAGATATTCATTTTCTTTCATTTTACTTGTCACATGTTTTGTTCTGGTTTCCTCGTTGATTGATCTTTTTTCAACACTATCAACATTGGTTAAGTCACTTTTATCAGCTCTAGATATATCGAGAATTGCTGTCCACTTCTTTCCCTTATCGCTTTGCATCTCTTCATCGGTTGATGCTTCACTCGATGTAGCTTTTTGTTGCTCCTTTCGAATCAAAAATTTCCGGCGTTTTTTATCTTTAATAATCGACATACCGGGATGATAAACCGTAACATATTCACGAATTGGTAAAGATGGGAGCTCATTTTCACGTTTAATATTATACAATTGTTCATCATAAGAGGTTGATGGCATTCCATATGCTCCAGGTTCAACGCGATAACTATCTGCAGTGCTAACGAAAAGATGACAAGTTTGTTTCAGCTTTGTTGAATCATAAGCTTTCTCCTTTATACTGCTACTGAAACTTTTATTGGCTTCAAGAGCACTTGTTACAAGCTTGCTTTCCTTCAAATATGTCGTCTTTTCATGTTCTCTTTCAGATGATTCCGCATTATAATAACTTGTTTGCACGATTTGTCTTTCATAACCTGGCTGTTTGATATGAATAACAGCAATTTTCTTTATTTGATTTTCTTGATCATCTACAGCTCCAGACTCATTAACCGTATGATCAGAATTATCTAGCTTACTTGCACTTTTCTCCATCTTCTCCTTAACATCTTTATTCTTTTCTTTCAGTAACTTTGTTGGAGATTTTTCTGGTTTTTTATAACAACTAAGCCAGTTCCGTATGTTGCCTTTTTCATCAGTATCTGTTCGGGTTGCATCTATAGTATCGTAATATCCTTGATTATAAACGTGAGTATCAATCCTTAGTGGTTGGATCGGCAGTTCCATACTTTTTTCAGTATGCAAAATAGGTCCTTTAAATTTCTCACTTGCCGGATATTTTTGTTTATCCACCGTTTGTCGGATATTTTTTCCAAATTTATCGGCAATATCATCTGTTTTCAAATATTTCTTATGTTCGAATACTTCAGAATCTTTGTTTCCGCTACTAGGAAATTTCTCATTTGCCGAATATTTTTGTTTATCCACCGTTTGTTGGACTTTTTTCCCTGGTTTATCCGCAACATCATCTGTTTTCAAATATTTCTTATGTTCAAATGCTTCGAAATCTTTATTTCCGCTAATTGGACGCGAGAAACCAGAATGGTAAACATCAGCAAAATGATGTATTGGATACGTTCCAATATCTTCTTCTTTTACCAGAATGTCAGTTTCTGCACCACTTTGATGGAAAATTTTTCCCACTGATCCTAACTTTGGTCTATGAACCAACACAAAATCATCACCCGGTTCAATTGGTGGCTCACGAAATTGTCTGCTATGACTTCCAGTCACTTCTTCATAATGTCCAGGATGATAAACAACTGCCTTATCTTCAACCGGCAAAAATTCCGTATCCTTTTCTCTTCGAAATACTGATTTGCTCTCGTGTAAATTATCGGATAGATAACGTGACTCACTATGAAAATCACCATTCGAAAATTCATGCATGGAAGAACCAGTACCTCGTGCAATTTTTATGGAATGTGAAGAAACATGAGGCAATAAAGGCTGCTTGAAATGCTCAGTAACAGTAGTACTAGTAATAGTGGTAGTAGGAGTAGTAATAGTAGTAGTAATGACAGCACTGTTAGTAGTAGTAGTTGTAGTTGTAACAGAAGTAGTAAAAATAGCAGAATAATGAACACTATCACGCGATTTTCCTGAAGTATTATTGGTGTTACCCACCTCTGCACCATTTGGCATCATGTTATTTTCTCTGTTCTGTGTAGCTCCCATTACATGCGTTGAGTATATTTTCTCGGGTGAAATCATCTGCTGAAAATAAGCATTATGAAACTGTACAAAATACATATTTGCAAACATGATGAAATAAAGTTAATAGCTAAACAAATTCTTTATCAGCAGTGAAAAATATATAAATCCTTACTACAGTTTCCCAAATTTCTTTAATTTTGGTCCGAATTCAGCCATTCTTGCTTATTAAATCACTATTTCTTAGTTATCACTTTGCAGTTAAGCAAGTAACTACTCAGTAAATGGATACAAAAAAAAAAAAAAATTCCAGCGTACAGTTTACACTACTGAAAGTTCAACGTTTGTGAAAAAACTCACCTAAGCAATATATTATATAGAATAGACCACACATATAAGAAGAGAATAGCAGGAAAAAATTATCACTATTTTATGGCAAAAAAAGTAAGGGTTATTCCGTGCGGCCATATTTTCAAGAGAAATAACTTACACTGCTGCTCCATTCTAATTCCCTACCGGTTCCACTCTCGGAATGCATCAGAGGTAAAGTTTGACTTGTTGAAACCGGAACTGTAACTGCAAAAAAGTGATAAGGATCACCAAGTAAGTAAAATTCTTTTCGGTTCTAAAATTAAGATTATCAAAATTTTCTTGAATGGCGAAGTCACTGTTTGAAGTTTAAGCCAACTATGGAAATTAAAATGTTCCCATTATTTGCTCATAAAACATCGAATTTCTTCCAAACAAACAAAAAAAGCTAAATTCAATCCAAAGACAAAATTCTTAAGTTACATACCATTTAGAAAAATTAAAACAATCAACCAACCATTTCCATCATTTTGAGTTACACGAACACTCTGAGAACGTTGAACTGGATGACTATTATAGAACATTTGTGAAGCCATTTTTGACTGAAACTGAGTGCGTCCCTGATAACGAAATCTTGCTGAACCCCAACGGAATAAGCCTCTATGTGGCTTTTCTTCCGGCTGGATCAATCTGTAATTTTTGTACTTTTAAAAATTTGTGCAGTAGTGCTTAGAATGACCATACGTTATATCTTTAATTGATTTTTAATTTAATCAATAAGTTATTCTAAATCGCTATAAGAGGTTTGACGTTTAAAATGCTTTATGCATAAAAACGGTACTGTACGGAATTATGGAATTTTTGATTACAAAAAATATACAACGAGTTGGGAAATTAAATCATAGTATTAATAACGACTATTTAATAACACAAACAAAGAGATGATTAAGTAGAGAAGTAAACCTGAAGAACGTATGGTGCTCGACGCCACATTTCCAAACTCGTTTTGCTGCTTCATAATCAACTAATTTGAAAGCGGCTGTCGATTCATTTTTCTCAAGCTGGAAAAAAGCTCAGAACTGATACCAGTAACTCCAAGTAACTTTTTGATTTTTGGAAAGAAATCAAAAAATTAATGCTTTTATATATAGTTTCCTTTTTTTCCGTTAAAGTACCGCGAAACTTACTTCACCAGGTTTAACTTTGATTACAAAAATATTGCGTCGATAACCAATTTTGATGATGTTCTGCCAAAGAAAACGATGCACACGGATCTGATCAAGATATACATTGATCCCATGGGCACTGATTCCAATCTGAACAGGTGTACCTTTCCCATCCTAAAATATACAAAACACTTCATACTATTCGTAAGCATGAGTGACCATATCTGCAATATCATTTATCACTAATCCCTCCATGAGTTTTTATTTCATAACAACCGAGCTGTTTATTTTTACTTTTCTAAATTTGAAAATATGCCCATAAATAACTTAATCCTATATATAGAATCGGAAAGTCGAGTGCATGCATTTCCAACATGAAGTGTTAAACTACTTAAGTCCAAGTATCTCTTAACATGGATTATTCAGCTACTTAACATTGAGCTTCAAGTAATTTATCTACTACCTCAATTTACTATGATCGAGAATCATCTATTCTACACTTAATTCATGTCCCCTTGCAAAACGAATCGAAATTCTGTTTAAAAAACCTTTGAAGTAACTATAAAAACAACAGCAAACCTTCGCATGGAAAAGTTGAACACCATACATGCTTAGCTTCTTGGCATTTTCTAGATAATGTAAATCCGCTTCAGCCGACGTTTCGCCTCTGCAAATTTTTTGTTACTGAAAACCCAATGAAATCAAACTATCTTATCAATTATTTGAAATTTTTATATTTCTTCGTGAACATTCTCATAAGTAACAATTTTAACTGATAGCAACTAATGTTAGTTCTACGTCTTGCTTCAAATTTAACAATATTTTTTTCCTGAAAAATTTTCTGAAAAAATACTGAATTATAATGAATCTTACTAAAATGAGCATTTTTTGTAAAGCACAAGTAGAAAATTTAAAAAAATTTACTTGTGATGTTTGTGCAGTTCTTCAACTTTTTCGTAAAGTGTTTCATTTGGCGCTGGAGCTAAATCGCAACTTCTGAGAAAATCGATATATTGTAAGGAGGGTTCGTAATCACCTCGCACAGATTGCGCAACGTATGAACCCAGTAAAGCATGCGTAGCAAGAGTAGCTGGAAGCCTGGAAATTTACGACAATTCGAAAAGTTTTCTAAATCCAGAAAAGTGTAGAGAATTTCAATCAAAAAAACAATGAACTATACGCGTGAAATCCGTAAAATACTAACTTGCCAGTGGAAATATCATGCCGAACTTGTAAGCATAAAAAATGACGCGTTCTGTCTTCAGCCAATGTTGCTGGTTCAGGTGGATAAAATTTCACTTGAAAAATAAAGTTCCACGAATGACCTAGAAAAATTTAAGAAGGTAAACATGTTTTTCAAATTTCATAAATTTAATGTGTGCAAAGCCAACGTACGGCATTCATTCCACGTCAAGCTTGCGCTTTATTTAGGTTAGGATAATGAATACGATAAAGAATAATCTTTCGAGTTCACATTTAATGTATTACGATCATTTTATGACTAAATGAAATGAATGTCTAATTAAAAATAAGGATCTTGATTTAATACCTAAAAGTTAATTCTAAAACAAATAAAAAAGAATGGGGCAAATTAAATACGAAGAGATAAAAGAGAAAAAAGAAAATCATATCAATATCGTATTTCATTTTTCTTACAGCTCACCAGGTGTTAAAGAATGGAACCAAATGTCTCACATTTCTGGTTTTAAATTTTAAGTATATGAGAATTAACAAACTTCAATTTACGAATATCGCATGATTAAAACGTTCTTTATGATATTTGAATAACATTACAATTTTACAAAATCTGCATTTTTCATAATCTTAGACAAGACTAAGCAAATCGAATCCCATGAAGATTTATGAGAAATTTTTTCATTTAAAAATGTTGTAATCAGCAAGAAAAATAACTTGATTGTAAGTAATTCAAATGCATAATATGATCTTTCAAGCAAATTCTATCAAATTCCGATAGAAAGTTTACTATTATAATGGTACTGCAGAGTAAGAGACACAAAAATAAATTAACAAAACTGATAAGCTTTTAACTTATAAACGACATCAATCATGAAGCTGCTTATTCATTAAAATCATTTAAATGATAATACCTTTCAACTGCTTTGAAATTCGCTTATCATCATAGATCCATTGCTGAAAAAAAAATTTCATGATCGAGTACATAGATTAGAAGTGATAAACTTGTCGATATGTCATAAATGTATTTTGAAAAATTAACAAATCCATAAGGACTACGTTCAGTTCTTTATATTATTCAGAATACTCAATCGGTTGAGGTCAATATATGAATTATTATTGTTTGCTGCTTTAAGAAAAATAATAGTTCGTGTGCTGATTGACCTATAGAAAAAAATGATACTGTAACTCTTCCTACCATTAATTGATAACAATAAAAATGTCAAAAAACTGAAAGATCAAAAAAGTGTAATTTCAATACGTGAATTTTGCCTGAATGTATTTTTATTTGAAATATATCAATTTTGGTCATCGTATTAAAGAAAAATCAATCAGAAAAACATGCCCTACATATCTCAGAAGATCATCATTGAACTTACTTGATTACCATCGCTATCAATAAAACATAGTGCGAAGTAATCTTTTTCAGAGAGATTGAGAAACGCGCACACCTTATCAAATAGCTCACCTCCTTCAGCTTTTTTCTGAAGAAACGAAATCATTTCAAATAGATCATTATGGAAATTTTTAAAATATTTGGAAAGTGAACTGCAGCCTGTTTATCAGTTGAAGACATGCATATCCATGATATCTTAAAACCTGATTTTTTTTAAACTTTAAAAATCTCATTTATATTTGTATTTTTTCATCTTAACAGCCGTTTGTAGTACAAAAATTTGAAAATTCTCCATTTTGCGTTAAAAGTGGAATATGCCAAGAATTCAGCACTACTTTGTAATCTGGCTTTGGTACTTGGAGAAAAAATGCAATGAAAAACTTATGACATTACACAATTTGATGCCTCTTGCTATGAATCATAACCGAATGCAAATAAAAAAAACAAAGAGAAATTCAAAGGGGATAAAAATGAATCATCCGCAAAAAGTGGAACTGATATATCTATCTACAAAAAGAAAAACCAATTTTTCCCGAAAAAATAAAATCACGAAAGCAAAAAGAACAACTGACTTTAACAAAAAATAAAAAAAAGCAACAACAGCACATCAAATTGTAATTTAGAAAAACATGACAAGGATAGAAGAAATAATAAAAAAAGAATTGATTTATTAAACATACTGCTATTAATGCTTTAAACTATGATACTTCAAAATTTCTTAAATTTTTTAAACAAAGTTATGTTGCCCTAAAAATTGTTTAAATAGATAAATTTTTGCTTTAAAATACTTAATTTATAAAATGAATTGACTAACCGATACATAGAAGATATGCTTAGTGGAGTCAAGTAATTCTACCGTAGCAGGTTGTTGATCCATCGTTCGTTGAATATTACCAATTTCACCTTCTGATTCCCTCTTACCCATTAGTTCTGCAAGAAAAAATAAAAAAATTATTTGATGACTTATTTTCGAATATACAGGAAAACAAATTTTTCGCTTAAAGTAAAAAAACGACAAAAAACATGAGAAAGGATAGATCAAAAGGAAAGTGATATGTGACAATGAACTGACAGAACCGTTCAATCAACTTTCAATGTCGGCGGTATATACTTTCATTAGACTCAAAACTGAAATTAACATTACCATTCTCAGTTGACATCAATAAGACTAGCCAATCAATCCTTAATGCATCACTTTTGATGTTAAGTGAAGCGTTTATCTCTTCGAAAGAATGAAAGAAGACGATTTCCAAAAATAGAATAAATTAAAGAAGAGACGATTGGAAAAATGGAAAGCTTGAAGTGAAAGAAAATTTGCCTACGACACAGACTTGAAATAGTTATTTCCAAAAAATGCTCTGCATTTCAAACAACATAAGTTTTATGAAGATAAGTAGAAAAAAAACCTAATGAAATACAACTTCTCAATATTTTTATAGTTTAGCTTAAAACAAAATGCTTCAACAAATGTTTCTTTTTGAAGTAAGAAAGAAATAATATCAAATCAATTTATTTGATAAATTAATTACAATAGTACTAATTTCCATAAATATAAATTAATCAAGAAAAATATAAATTATGAAGTATATAAATTTATTATAA